GAGAGAGAGAGTGTGTGCATCTGTGCACTTCCTTGCTGTCTGTTGTCTATTTCTGTGTGTGTGCATGTGCGTTACATCTCACTGATATCGTCACCAATGTGACCTCACAGAATCACAGTAGATCCCCCATCTGTTACACCCTCAGAGACCTGTGTATGCATACACACACACACGCACACACAAACTCCTTGGCAGCTTGGCGTCTCTGCAGGAGCTGCCATCATCCCAGTGGAGAGCAGCCGAGAAGGGTATCATGTCTCTCTTCTCTCTCTCTCTGGCTCTGTCTCATCTCACATCTCTTCGCTGTTTATTGAAGGTTTATCAGCTCTTTGGTGAGCCTATCATCTAAAGTCGCTGCTGTGTCTTAAAGCCCTCGGCACATGAGTGTCACACACACTCATGCGTGGTAGTTGTGGGTTCAAACCACCGGGGATCAGCATCGGTATTGTCATTGCATGACGTTGCTCTTACTCGTACCAACAAAGCCTTTCTTTTATTGAGAGTAACAGAAACAGTTTTGTTGAGAACAACAAAGCATGGATGAAGAAGAATCTCCTAAAATCTGTTCCAAATTAGCAAGCAAAAGCAAAAGTTTGACATTTTGGTAAATATGCTTTTTTTGCTTTCTTACCAAGAGTTAGATGAGAAGATTGATACCACTCTCATGAAGAGCTATTAGACAGACGTATAAAAGTCAGCACTGGCTGATATAAAAAAGTAGACAGATAATAGTTTAAATCTTCACTGGCACAAAATGTATGATCTGAACAATTTTAAAGATTAGAGATCTGATGTTGCCATGGCTATGTGAATAAAAAAAGACCCACATCAGTTAAAATGTTGGTGTAGAGTCAGGATTTCAGGGTGATTAGTAAACAGTATAACACTAACTCTATCAATATCACACACATAAAGATGACACCTTTTATCATGTCAAATGTTTTTGTCAATTGTTCTTTGAAAGGGCATGTGGTTTTTTCCGAAAAAATAAGATCTCTGATTAAGATTTCTGGAAATAATTTCCAGTCCAGAATGACGGAAAGATTACATTTAATGTTTCAACATGTAGAAGAACAGCAGCTATGATCTAAAAACTGTTGCCAAAAAGCATTTTGGTGTTCATGTGGGGAGCGTCGGCACATGAACAGAAGGTTGCCCAGCGCACACCATGACCCCATATTACAACGTGACCACTTGTAGCCTTGGAAAACGAACCCTGTGCCGCCAACATCTGCTGTGGGTTCCACAAGACCTGCAGGCTGGCTTGCTCTACATACACAGACCTCTAATATGCAGCTCCAGGGGAGATTGTACACTGAAGGCATTAGTGCTACACTTCTACTACAAAAGTAGATTTCAATAAGTCGGACTATACAGTACTATATCTGTATCCCACCGTACAGCTCCCTGACAGACATTTATGTCCACCAATTCCTTTTCTGAAAAAAATTAAAAAAAACACAGACACTGGTCTCACATACTGTATTGCTTTTCCCATGGACATTTACAGATAGATGAAAATTTAAACTCCATTCTTTAAAAGGTGTTCAGTTGATTCACATCATTTTCATTCTCATCAAACCATCCAATGATCCCTAATGTCCTATATGAAAGCATCTGCATTTGTCATCTTTCCCCCACTCATTCATTCAGGCTTTGTCACCCATTTGTGTGTTAGCCCTAGCGACCACTGTTGTTGGCACCTCCTTCTCTCCATCTTTTTTATGCATATCCTTATCCTCTTTCTCTCTCTGTGTAGTGTTGTAAATCCTCCTTAGTCACACTAGATTGTGGTTTGTGGGTCTCCCACTAGAGTCTTTACACTGACCTTTAGGAGGTAGTTGGAGAAGAGAGTGTGGGGGATTGGACAACGAGCCCATCCTGAGTGGTCAGTGATGGGACAGTTATTTTCATAAGTCAAAAGCATAGCCCATAATGTCAGGTTTTTTTTTCTTCCTGGGAGTACTTACCTCAGCCATTTGGGTGTCTGTGTGATGTGTCTGCGTGTGTGTGTGTTATCACACCTATTGCCACAGTTAAGCACAGCGGCTATTGTTGTTTGGCCTTGTAAAATGGATCCTTGGGCAGTAATTTTCACTGCATGGGGCTTTACACACACACACACACAGTTCCTCTGCATGGCTGGGCAGAAGGGAATCTGCAAGCACATTAAAAGAGCATGTTGTTGAAAGCAGGTGTCCTTAAACAGTAGTACACGTATAATACAGTGACAATCAGTGAAATTATGATCATCTTTCTTTTTGTCTTTTTTTATTTCTCTCTCTGCCATCTCAGCCTTTCAGGGTGAGTTGAGGGCAATCTTGTGTTTGTGTGTTTTAGTTTACTGCTTTAGCTCATTTTAACATAATATGTCTTTCTAGCTTTCTCCCACACACGCTCAGTTGAATAAAAACCTGCACACATACTCATTCACACACACCGACAGACACTGAGCTGTCTTTTTAATAGCGTGTCCTCTTGTTGATTCATCATCGTGGCAAACCAATTTAAATGTTAAATGACCAGCATGAGGAGGTTCATCTATGCAAACGGCTTTTTCTATAACTGGATGGATTTGATAGAGTTTATGTCGCAAAGATACAAACATTTTTATAGCAGCAAACAGAAAACACACACATGAGCGCACACCACTGTTTATTGTTTTAGTATTACACACAGATATAACCACCTATCATAGCAATGAGGCTGAGATAATAGAAATGTTCCATGAAATTGCAGCATGCACGTAAAATAGTTTTGTGGCCAAGTCCACTTTATTGTGTGTGTGTGTTTAAAGCAATTTTACTTAATGAAAAAGAGAGTCCTTGTTTCATTTTGTGTTTTTTCTTCTTCAACCACTGAATAGAAGCACGTCTCTCTCTATCCACATGGCTGTAAAAACCCACAGAACAGTCAGGTTTGACACTAAATTTTTTTTTTTTTGTTTTTTTTTTTGTTATTTCTTTTGCTCATTGGTTATTTGTTTGTCTGGTAAATTATCGGAGGAAGCCCAGAGGCCGTGCTTATTCATTGTTTTACAGGGAAATTGAATTCATCACCCAGATAAACAACTTTACATACATTTGCATATTTTTGTCAGATTCCATAAAACATCTCCGAGCCCTGTGGGTGGTCCTGACCCCCAAGCTGAGAACTGCTGCTTCAAACTTTCTTGCAGTATAACAACACCCGTCCTCTGCTCTAAATTCATTCTGGCATTGGCTCTGTCCCGTGCTGAGTGCAAGAAAAAGAAATCATAAATTAACAAAGCTGGGGAAGTTAAATCGTATAAATAAAGAATGTAGAGGTGGCTGAAAAACTGAGAAGTTGCCAAATCGTGAACATTATTTCGGACAGAATCTCAGAGGCTAATAAATTCTCAGTGTAATTATGTGCAGAAAGTAGCTAACATTTCTCTTCTGGGTGTTTTGAAGTTCTTTCCAAGGTCGTGGAGCTTCCTATCAGGTCTGGACAGTCAGTCTGATGGGGGGAGTTTTTCCAGCGGGGAAAACAGTTTTCTGCAGAGTAGAGGACTTTGTGTCGGCTTAACGCTGTTAAACCTACAATCCCCACAGACAAACACTGTCTAAACCTGACACTGCTGACCCACGCAAACACACACATACACACACGCAGACTGAATCATGCATAGACACACCAAAGCTTGGCGCATGCACACAGACATGAACTTTCTACCATACATACAAAAAACAACAACAATTATTCATGTGTATTTAAATTATTCTTCAGTGTTTATATGATTTACTTCTATCTGTCTAAAACACTCTTTACATTGTCATCCAGTGAATATTCATTAGGAAACACCTCAGGATGCTATGCAGTGTAACAGCACCCATCCTCAGCACACCCTTTAGTGCATCACATGTAAATCATGACCAGTCTTTCTCATACCGTACATCATTTTAACCACACCTAAACTTCACTGTAATGACATGCAACAAAGGTCCCTGGCTGGAACTGAACCGGCAATGTTGCAGTTATGCGTCCTGCACAGTAACTATTCGACTACTACATTTTAGCGTTCTTTCTTGGAATACAGCTGAACTATGATAAATCCTTGTTAACAACAGTGATGTTTTTAAATTATTTAATTTTTAATGCAAAACAACTTTTTTGTTCTGATCAACTTGATCTAATAGTAAGTAACTAGATGGTATTTGCGACTGAAATATTATTTTATTGTTGAAATCTAATGTTTCGCAAATAAGTGTTTATCTGAGTTGTTTTTTTTGTATTCCGAACGGAATAGTGTTTTTTGATAAATGGCCTTTACAATGCTACCTATCCCACTGAGCCAACACAAGCTTCAAACACACGCTTTCATCTGGTGGGATCCACTTGCTTTCTTTGTTTCTGGTGTTTTTCCCACTCACTGTGTCTCAGACGTAGTCATTGCCGCCATACCTCCTCGGTGATAATACAGTGTTTTTCACCATCCCTCTGGGTTTATAATAGTCATTTTTATCTATACAGTCAGTCTTTCGTTCTTGTTTCTCAGTCTGTTTTACAGTTTTTCTTTCTCTTTCCATATTCCCTCTGCTCTCACTACTTTTGTACTCTCTGGCTCTCCGTGTTTGCCGTATCCTCCAATTACCTCTTGAAAATGCACAGGTAATTTTATTGATATTGCTGAACTGAGAGAAGAAAAAAAGACGTGTATATAAAAGCCGGCAGTCCAAATGGCTTCTTTCTTTTTCCTTTTTTTTTTTCCTCCTTCAAATAAAGACTCTGGCCGCAATTTTTTCACTCATAGAGAAATTTAGCTGAAAAGCTCCTTCTGATGGTTTCTCTCAAATGGAAAAGCTTTTAGTTTAGCTTTTGGAGACTATTCAAGCCCAATGAGGTGACCTCTGTCTGCTCACCCTCACCCTGTTCCCACCTTTCTCTCTTCCTCAACGATGTATCTCCACTTCTGCTTCCATTACTCTCTCTCACTCCGTCTCTCTCT